AATTTATTTAATATAATCAATAACAAGTACTTATTTTAAATTCACGTGAATAATAAGAACCAATAATTTTAAATAATAATATTGGGCAGTGAAGCCACCCCCATTCACATACTCTAGTTATAAAACAAAATTTTAATTTTTTATAAAATGGTTCCATAACTATCTTATAACAATCTGATTGTGGAATTATTTCCATATTTAGAACGATCTTACCTGAACGAGAATAAGGGGTGAGAAGGAAGAAAAATCGAATCAATGATCGGCTAAATAGATTATCAATTTTTTATAATGATAACAACTGATATCAGATATACGTAATTAATTCGATTTTCTCCTAACTGAACCACACAACCTTTCCCCAGCTTCATTCAGCAAACTTCTCTGGAGGCTTCAAAACACTATGGCCCAAAGGAAACAAATGCACACCCGACCCATCACTTCTGAACACATCGACCGCAAAACACGACCCTTGTTTTGGATGTTTCAAGACGAAGTAGTGTAGAGTGCTTTTTCAAAGCCCATTCTCTTGAACAGACCAACCAAGCCAATAAGTAATATACTTAATAACGAGTTTATTTTTTATTAAACAATGGATACTAAAATTAAAAAAAAATTTTTAATAGATCACCGTTATAGACATAACTTTAAATATTGGTTGGTCACGACAGTTATGTGTGGGTGTGGGGCATATAATATATACTTCTTGGATTGTTAAGCAACCAAAAAAAAAAAAAAACTAACAAATAATAGACATGGCTTTAGGTGGCAGGCTGGTCATGACATAGTTGTACGCGGATGTAAGGCATATAACATGAAAAGGCATAAACTCGTTTAACTATAAAGTAAGTAATATATTAAATAATGAGTTTATTTTTTATTAGATAATGAATACTAAAATTAAAAAAAAATTTTTAATAGATCACTATTATAGACATGACTTTAAATATTGGTTGGTCATGACAGTTGTGTGCGGGTGTGGGGCATATAACACATACTTCCCAGATTGTCAAGCAACTAAAAAAAAAACTAACAAATAATAAACATGGCTTCAGGTGGCAGGCTGGTCATGACATAGTTGTACACAGGTGTGGGGCGTATAACATGAAAAGGCATAAACTTGTTTATCTATAAAGTAAGTAATATATTAAATAATGGGTTTATTTTTTTATTAGACAATGGATACTAAAATTAAAAAAAATTTTTTAATAGATCACCATTATGGATGTGACTTTAAATATTAGTTGGTCATGACAGTTGTGTGTGGGTGTAGGGCACATAACACATACTTCCTGGATCGTCAAGCAACCAAAAAAAAAAAACTAACAAATAATAGACATGGCTTCAGGTGGCAGGCTGGTCACGACATAGTTGTACGCGGGTGTGGGACATATAACACGAAAAGGCATAAACTCGTTTAACTATAAAGTAAGTAATATGTTAAATAATGAGTTTATTTTTTATTAGACAATAGATACTAAAATTAAAAAAAAATTTTTAATAGATCACCGTTATGGACGTGACTTTAAATATTGGTTGGTCATGACAGTTGTGTGCGGGTGTGAGGCACATAACACATACCTTCCAGATTATCAAGTAAACAAAAAAAAAAAAACTAACAAATAATGGACATGGCTTCAGGTGGCAGGCTGGTCACGACATAGTTATACGCGAGTGTGGGGCATATATATGGAATGTTGCTGTAATTGATAATATTAACTTCAAGAATATAGTTTTCAAGTACAGGAATATATATGATGTTATTCAGCAATCTTCACATGCTACTCTTAGAATGGTGTTTTAATTTGAACTTCTATTCAATTTATCATCTCTTAACTCAAGAAAATCCACAATCTCAAGAAAACCTATTTGGTCAATCAGCATTTATATCTGAATGGGATAAAAAATTTGATATAATAATAAAACAATTAATAAATGTGGCAGCTGATGCTGAAATTGGGAACCTCTATTTAAATCTACAATACCTACAAATTCATAATACAACAATAACACTCTCTCGCGTTCATCTTGGATTGCTATAATTTTTTGTTTAAAGTTAGCTGGGTCTGATAAACCAGAAGTAGACAAATTTTGCTTGATAAATTTAATGCCGTATTGCTCCAAGGCTTCATCAAAAGCTAAGTAGTAGTTTTCTTTAGTAATATTTATTGAAGCAATGTGCTTGAATAGCTTGTATTGCTGTGGATGGCATGACACAGATTCTAAAAAGGTTATAACTGATAATGTATAAATATTTTTACTAGTAGCAGGAAATAAGAGTGCAAATACTGCTAAGCTTTTTAATTGCATATTTACATTACTCAAACGAATACCTATATAATAGGCTTTCTAATACTCAGCTAAATGGTAAAACAAAAACCATATTTTTAAAATATTATTATTTCCTTTAAATATAGCTTCTACATTAATAGCATATTGTTATTATTTAAATAAAGGTAAATTGCTATTTCAACAACGGTGTGTATTAATTCTAATACTCTACAAGTTGTGCGATAGTTTATATTTTGTTCTAGCTTGTCAAGAAATTGGATGCCTAGCTTTGCCACCATGCTATAAAGACTATATCTACTAAATCCTGCAATCAAAGCACTACACATAGCCTTTGAAGTATGCTATTGCTCAAGGATAAATCTACAAGCTAAGTTGTTATTTTTATACATTTTTGTTCTTGCAAAAATAGCTGCATCACATGCTAAATCAACAACATCTTGTTCAAGATCTTCTAAATATGCATCGATTGACTTAAATACGGATTCATT